CTCTCTCTCTCTCTCTCTCTCTCTCTCTCTCTCTCTCTCTCACACACACACACACACACACACACACACACGCACATACATTCTCCTGTCTATTGATGGGAAGCGCCACCTGCTGGAAACTGGGTCCAGCGTCCCATGAACATCGTGAATAAAGCATCAACCGGGACCCCACACACACACTCCCTTCGAGTTGTGTATAGCGAACATGACAAAACATACATAGAGCATATTCACTACCTTACCGTTCCCGAACCACATAAACAAACGGACTACGGGCTGCGCACCCGTGCCCTCACGGTAAGTCAATGAAACAGAGTGTGTGTGTGTGGGATATTCAGGGAGATCCAGAGTTGAGTATGCATGAACGGTGGTGGTGAACACAGTGTCAGACGAGTGAAGTGTGGGCGCTCAGACGCCATAGCCAGTTGATTCGAGTTTGTATCTGAACTGTGTTCTCGGTAGCAATATCACTGAGTTTTGTGTGGGCGCCTGGCGCCAGTGTGGATTGCCATCTGTTTGTATGCATGCGAAGTGAGAAGAAGACGAGTCTGATTGCAGGTTGTAGGGGGTTAAGGGGGGGGTATGAGGGTGTTGGGGTGTGGTATGGGGTGTTTGGGGGGGGTGGCTATGGGGGTGTTGATGGGGTTATTTGGGGCTCTGGACCCCAATTTTTTTTTTTTTTTTTTAAATGGTGGGATGCCGACCAGTCCGACGGACTGCTGGTCGCCCCCTGACCGACCAATCCAGGGGCGCTGACCATCGGCGTGATTACTCTGCTTCGAATGCAATTCATCTCTTGTTTGGAGGGGCATGGATGGAATGTTGAGGGTGGAGAGAACGTTATCTCTCTGTTTTGAATGCGTTTCATCTCGGACAATGGACTGCTCTCTAACGACAAGTCAGATTCTCTTGAAGCTTTCAACAGCCGTTTAACTACACTCTGAGCTCCTCTGGGACTCTGGACTGGTATCCTCAGGGAAGTCCAGGAAAGAAGAAGGAAAAGAAAGAGAAGGAAAAAACGAGGAGAACTTGGAGAAAGGAATGATGACAACGACAATGACAACAACGAAGAAGCAGAAGAGGAAAAGGAGGGGAGATGGGATGTGTGCCCGTCTTTCTCCCTGAACCAGGAGGAGAAAGGAGGAGGACGAGGAGGAGGTGGCAGTACAAGAAGGAGGAGAAGAAGTTGAGGAGGACCTGGGTGCCGTTTCCTAGATGGGTCAGGGTGAGGTCATAGCAGCATGTGCTGTGCTCTTCCGCTCTACAATTCCAATTGCGACACTGGTGGTACCGCGGTGGGCAGGCACATTTTTTATTCAAAATGTGGCCCCCGCGGCCAGGGAGTCTGACCTGAGGTGCTCACATTTGGCCTGGGATGGTAGCTGTACTGATCTACCCTCGTGGGGTGCCTGTGGGGGACCTGTGGGCGGCTACCGCTCGTTGCCTACAGGTCCTCTCTCTGGATGGTTGGTGCTCACCAGTCAGAGGTCAGCCAACAGTTGGCCATGATACAGTGGCTACACCTCTTTCTTGCTTTTGATTAAAAAAAAAGAAGTGGCTACACATCTTTAATTCCCTTCAACCCCATTTTGCAAACCCTCATACCTGAACAAACCACAAACTTGGCACAAAGCCAAAAATGTATGGTTTTCTGAAGCAGGAACAAACTCGGATCTAGGCTCAATTTTTTGACATGTGCAATTGATGAATATGCCACATACTAACGTGTTTTTTTTTTGTTTTTTTTTTTTTTGTCTGCAGAATAAGAAGGTCCTGATGGTGGCCACTGATGTCTATAGACCTGCTGCAATCGATCAGCTTATTACACTTGGCAGACAGGTGAGCCCATTCTTCTCTGCCCAAAAATTCATCAATGCCTTAGGTTTGTACTACCTTTGTAGCCTATAGCGATAGCTGATCTTATACTTATACTTCCCCGAAGTATCCAGTCTTTCCAAAAGTCTGTAGAAGAGATGGAATAAGGGTCCAGGGTTGATGACTAACTGAGTGAATGATTTTGTACTACCTTTGTAGCCTATAGTGATCCAGTCCTTCCCCAAAGTATCCAGTCTTTCCGAAAGTCTCTAGAAGAGATGGAATAAGGGTCCAGGGTTGATGACTAACTGAGTGAATGATTTTGTACTACCTTTGTAGCCTATAGTGATCCAGTCCTTCCCCAAAGTATCCAGTCTTTCCGAAAGTCTCTAGAAGAGATGGAATAAGGGTCCAGGGTTGATGACTAGCTGAGTGAATGATTGTGTTCATCAAACTGGTCAAGAATTGTCTATGTTCTTGAGCGGTGTTGTCAAGACATTTGTTGCCGAGCCGGTAATCTGGAGCTGCATGGGCACTAAGAAAGCATTTGTTCGTGGGAGACCATGCAGCAGTGTTCTATGATCTCATATGAATCCACGAAACACCCTGAAAGGCATCTGATGGTGTCAGCTGGAGAAGAAAGTGCAAAATTACGGCTGTGTACAATGGCGTTTATGACAAGTTGTGAGGTGTGAAGCTGGTCCACTTCATCTCTGAAGAGTTCAAGTAAGACGATTTGCTAGTGCAGAGGGATGGAAACTCTGTCTTGGTTGCTCACAATTGGAGATGGCTTTCCGCCAGTCTCCTGGGGCTTTTCATTCATCCCACTATCACACAGCAGCTCTCTATGATGGCCTTCATTAACTGATGCATGCCCAATGGGACAATGCGTAGGGAGCCAAGGATCCGCAATGTGATGAAAAGGACCGAAATGGACAATGCAAGGTCAGCGTAGCATCAACAAGGAATGTACATTCCGAATACATACAAGATGGCACAAAGTGGCGCAGTGGAAGACTTAAAAGAGAAGATCTGGTCTGATCTGGACTGACCCGACATCCATCATACATCACACATGTGAGAAGGGAGGAGGGACCACAATCACGGAAGAAAGGTCCCTCCTTCGTACACATACATGGGGAGATACCACGGATGAGAGATGGGGGAAAGGGGACAAGACGAAGGAGAAGGAGGCGAGGGAGTAGACCAAGATCGCAATAGCGGAGTCCCAAAAATAGTCCCTTGCCGAGTGTCCAATCAATGTCTGTCCCAGAATGTTGAATTAGATCCTGGGCAATGTGCCCAACGTAACCGCTGCCTGTATTCCCTACTGATGATCTCTCTCGCTCTCATAGATGAAGAAGAAGGTAAGAAAGAGGAAGAAGAAGGAGATAGGGGAGAGAGAGATGGAGGAGGAAGAAGAAGAAGATGACATCCTCCTTGCTATCTCACCTGCAGGTAACTGTCACCGTACTGACTGTGGTCGTCGTCGTGTGCAGGTACCGCGCGGAGTCCCAGCTATGGCGCCAGGTAAGTTCGTCGCTCGCAGGTAAGGCCTCCGCCTCTCTCCACTACCTACTCCCCTACTCCCTACTCCGTAGCTTGGCGCAGAAATAACGCTGCTTCAACCAGCAGCGCGTCGCTCCAGAAGTGAGCTACTTGAACTGTCCTTGCCCAGCTGCTGCCCAGCTATTTGTAGCGCTGGGCGGGCTGGGCCTACCTGCTGCTGGCCTCAGAAACGGCCCAGCTGGTCTGGGTCCCTACCGGACGTCCAGACCATGCTGCTGATGCAGCAAGGCGCAGAAATGCGCCTGGCCTAAAAACGGCCTGGTACCGGTGCACCTAGCCCAAGGCGTTGCCTTGGGTCCTGCGGGACCGAAACGACGCCTGCACTTACCGGTCTGGCGCCGAAATGCGTGTTACATGCACAGATATGCAATGTACGTAATAAACCGAGAATCTGCAATGTGATGAAAAGGACTGAATAGACAATGCGGTACGAGTAGAATCTCGACAAGCAATGTACATTCTCATTCATACATAAAGATGCTGAAGAGCGCAGGGAAGACTTTGATACAAGACTGACCTGACAGGACTGACCTCATTCACGTAGTTCAGAGTAACGAAGCAGAATGCTAGAGTACCTCTAACTAGCCCAAT